AAAGTATTTCTCAGCAAAAAACAATCTCATTATGGCTAGATCTGCTATTGCTATACATTTTTAAAGGGAATATAAATACTGTAAACATTTTTTAAATCAGGTTTTATTTCAGGTTTGCATCAGGACTAGATTTGGGTTGTTTTTTGGTTGGTTTTTTTTTTTTTCATTTCTGGCCTTGCTTCAAGGGAAGGGGGAAAAAATCTGATTTCTGACTGAGAACAGCACACTTCAGATATCACCAAACTGATACAGGCCATTTTGGGATTAGCAGCATACTTACAAATAAATCACAGCATTATGAGATAAGTACACACACTGATGAGTTTTCTCTATAGCAGTTTTGTAGATTAGAATGTGCTTAAACTCAGAAATTATGATTTGCTTTTAAATTGAAACTATTCCACAACAGGGATTTATATCAGTAAAGTACTCCCTTAGTGCTGTAAGGCATATTGAGACTTAAGAGATCATAGAATCATAGAATAGTTCTGGTTGGAAAAGACCTTTAAGGTCATCGAGTCCAACCATCAAACTAGCCCTAAGTCCACCACTAAACCATGTTCCTAAGCACGACATCTGCTCATCTTTCAAACACCTCCAGAGATGGTGACTCAACCACCTCCCTGGGCAGCCTGTTCAGTGCTTGACAATCCTTAGTGTAAAAAAAATTCTCCCCTGGTAAAACTTGAGGCCATTGCCCCTTGTCCTATCACTAGCTACAAGGGAGATGAGACCGACCTCCACCTCACTACACCCTCCTTTCAGGTAGTTGTAGAGTGCAGTAAGGTCTCTCCTCAGTCTCCTTTTCTCCAGACTAAACAATCCCAGTTCCCTCAGCCGCTCCTCGTAAGACTTGTGCTTGTCGTAGGATTATATATGCAAAGATGTTTCAAGATACAGCAATTCCACAGGTATTTTTGAATTATACAGATAACAGGAAAGGCCACTGGGAGCCACTGGTAAATTATTTGTAGTGTATGTGGATTGTATTTGTGTATATCTTCATATAATGCTATTTTTACCTCTGTGTATTGTGCAGGGCAGAACAAATGTGAAATCTTCACCAATTTCTTTATTCAGCATTAGATACTTCATTAGTTAAAAAAATTAAACCATTCCCTTCATCTGTTCTTAGAAACTCTTTAAGTTATTATCTTTCTTGTATTGTAGTATTTTGCTTAATAGCGAAGCTACTTCTAGAATCTGCTGATGTAGCATTAAATGCAGGACAAATTTTACACTTTTTACAAATTGATCTGAGAATCTGACTATTTAAAAATGTTGGAGATTGATAGATCACACATGATTGTCATTTCAGATGTATTTTGTTCACGTGCTCGGTATCTGATGAGATGCTATGAAACATACTAAAAATTAATTACTAGAATAGCCTCTCCTGGTAAATAATCATCATCCATATTGTCTCTGGATTTCTGTATTGACGAGTTGTTACAGTTATGTAAATGTAACATAATACACTGTACACAGCATTGTCAAGTGTCTGCAGTAATTTATTCAGTACTTTAAAGAACTGTAAAACCCTGGTAAAGAGATGATATCATTATATAGATTGCTGCTGGGTCCTCAGTCAAATATGGTGAGTAGATTTTCTGAAATTTTCTGAGCTTTTGGTACTTTCCTTAATTGAAGCAAAAGAGCATATGCAGCTGGATTTCTTTGTTCATTTACAGTTGAGTTCAACAGGGCCGTATCATAAACATGCTTGGGCTTCTTGTAGTTCACCTGTGTGCTGCTGTCAGACTCCCCGTTCCTAGCGTGAGTCAGCCACATTGTCACCATAGCTTAAAGACTGTTTGCACAATCTCACTTCAGCATAATGCATAATGAACCTCAAATTAATCCTGCTGGTGTGTAGGATAAGGAATTTCCACTTCAAGTTACTGTCTCTGGATGGGGTTGTAAACCATGCCTATATTGTTCATCCAGGAAGTGTGAAGTTGTAAAAAACAAGCTAAATTGCCATATTTTATCTGCTCGTTACTTCCGCATTTACTGCCTTTATGGACCCAAAGTCCTCTAGGGAGTGTGACAAATCCTGATTTTATTTTCTACTTACAGCTTTAATTTGTTCACAAATGTGGAAAGAAGAAAAACTATTAGTCACTGGGGATTCATCTAGTGCTGTGTGTGGCTACTTAGGAACTGGTTCAGCTGTAGTTGCATTTTCATTATTCTGTTTACTGATGTCACGCTCAGCCTACATTTGTAAAATCTGCATTTCCTCATCTGGGAAATGTAAATACTTCAGTAACCTTAGAGTAGTTGCATAACTGGTTGGATAGTTGCCATACAAACAGTATGTTTTCTGCTCCATAATTTGTCCATTTCTCCAACGGATTCGCCCTCTTTCTACCTTCCTTACACTTTTACTTCAATCTTACCTTATAGGGTTCTGATGTTGCAGAAGTTAGGAAGAGCTCTGGCTGTTGGAAGAACTGCTGTTTGCTTCTCCACCGGTTGTAGTATCCAGTCCAGAGAAGGGAGTTCAGGTGTTAGGAGCAATAGATCTACAAAGCTTGAAAAGGTCATTCTCTGCCAGGTAAATTTTGCTTGGCTTCTAATGCAGCAACATTTGTGAATCTTACTACAGCACATGCATAAATAATTAACTTCCAAATTTGAAAAATACATAGTATGGAGCACACAGTAATTTTGCAAAATCTTTTAGATCATGTGAGTTTGAATCATTTCCTTCGAGGCATTCTCTAAACACGCATTCATTAGAGGAAGCGGCATATTTGGAAATGAAAACTAGCCTGATCAAAACCTGCATTTGCAATTTTGTTGTCAGAAACAACCAATGTTGGTAGGAAAAAAGTTTATTTCTTTGAACTGTGTTATTGAAAAATACATATAGCATTAACCACAGAGTGCTAGGAGATAAGTAACAGTTTGGAAATATGAATAAGAAGCATGAGTTACATGAGGCAAAAATTCTTTTGTCACAATCTTTTCCTGTTTTGGAAATTTTGAGTAGCTGTGATTTTACTTGTTAGGAAACATTTGGTTTTGAGCTCAGTTCTTCCCTTTATATACAGTGTATCAGGAACAATGTATTTTAACCTTCTCAGTCTTCTTTTCCTGCATGGCTTATGTCAATAGGATGAATCTTACTCAGAAACTTTATCTTGTATAACTTGTACTTTACTGTCATGACAAGAACTGGGGGGAGAGAGAGAGAGACTGCGTTTATGGGAAAATAAGGCATGTTTCATATCACTGTTTTTTCCAATTAATTTGAATCTCCTTCCAAAAAGCAGACTGCACATGCAAAACCAACAATGCCTAAGGCAAGCTGCAGCTTCCAGTCACCAGTCCCTAAGTTCCATGTCAAACCTGGTGAATCTTCTGTCAGTTTGTGGCTGCCTTTGTCAGTTGGCACTTATCACACGGGCTGAGGCAGCAGCAGGAAGGAAGCTGAGCCCAGCCTGGAGCTGCGGCTGGGCCTGGCCACCCCAGGCAGGCTATGGAGGCCAAGCAGAGGAAGGCCCACTGCCAGGCACTGCCATCTCCTCTGGTGTGGGCACCAGGTGAAATGACTGGGAAGCTACACGCACACAGTGGATGATGGGCTTTGTTTTGTAGCTGACTTCAGATGCTGCCATCCCTGGTGCCTTTCTGTACATAATACAGAGCCTGAACCCGTGGCTGCAGGGCATCTGTACAGGTACCTTGGTTGGTGTTTCCTCCCAGCATAAAGAATATATGCTGTATATGCTATAGGATAAAGCCTATAAAGGATGTGAGGCTATGTTTTTCTTTTTCCTCCTAATAACACATCTGAAATGCCTGGCCCGGTCTCATGCTCAGGTTAATCATCTGAAAGAATCATTACTGGCTCTGTAGTAGGAGCACTGGAAGGATTTGTTTTTTGAGATCATCTTTCTGAGACCTGGACATCGCTAATAAGCAGTTGCACATTGCAGGGTGTGTGGAGATGCACTAAAGCGCATCCAACCTCACAGAGCAATGCCGGCAAGTCTGAAACTGTGGGCAGTGCTGGGAAAAAGCAACCAGCAGTGAAGAAAGGAGGCGACAGCGCTGAGCGCTCCTGGGGGACCCGGGTACCCGTGGGATCTGGGCTGTGCAGGGGAAGGCTGAACGGGCTCTACCAGCCCAGAAAACGATGCCTCGTTTAAACGTTTCCGTCTCTTTTCAGCCTGGATTGCTGGGCGGGCGGCCGCTAGGGGGCAGCGTGCATGTTCCCCTCATACCGTCCCGTCCCACCCCCTCCCCGCCCGGCCGCTGTTCCCCGCATCCCCCTTCCCGCGATGGCGGCAGTGGGGACCTGCCTGGAGGCCGCGGGCAGAGTGCGGCCTCCCTGCGACCTCCTGCCCTTCCAAGCACTGCCCGGAGCGGCTGGGAGGCAGAGCGGGTTTGGGTAAAGTCAGCCTAATGAACGTACTTGCCTTTTGCAGCGTTTCTTCTCCCTGCCGAGGGATCTCTTCTGTAACTTGATACTGCGGTCTCAAGAGAAGTTTTTCCCTGTTTGCAGTTGACCTCATTTCAGTGAGCTAAATAAAATTCGTGCAAGTGGTGGTTTAAGCACTGTTTCAGAATTTGTACTGGTCCTGTAGATACTTACTTGTCTAAGCACTCTTACATAGCCTATAGAAGTTTTTAGCTTTCGGAGAAAAAACATGTGGAAGACATTGAACAATTTTTGTTTCTGCTTCTTGTTTTGCATTCTCACGCCATTATTTATTATTTCAGAAAGTAAACATACATGAATTACATAAAAACACTAAAGCTATTGGATTTTCTTTTAGTTTCTCTTGTAGACAGTAGAAATAAGGTCATTGCTATGTCCTGAGAATGTGAGGATTGCCAAAATACACAGTAGATACTTTTCAGAAAAAAACCACTGCATATCAAGTAACTGTTGAGTCATAAAACCCTTAAGTTAGAGTAATCAGATGTTAGTTACAGCTCACATTGATGGGAAGTATATAATCACCACCCCTATTACCACCCACTGTCCGTTTCTGGTCCAGGAACTTCCCCAAAAGTGTGTTTCTAATTTTATGGAAACCCTTTGAAATTTGGCAGTTTTCAAAAGTATGCAGGGGAAAAAAAAAGTCTGCCAGAGGTTTGGCCTCCAACTGTGAAAACAGACACTGCCTTTTCAGACTCGACTCCTAGATCCACTGACCAACACCCAGAAGAGAATTTACATTCTTCTAGAGTACGGCAGGAGAATGAAGGTCTGTATGCTGCTGAATTCAGCTTTTGGTAACATTTACAGCTGTTGTTTTAAACTGTCAGCTATTGCACACGGCCAGGATCTGATGTGAAAGTATTTGTTTTAAAGAAAAAGGAAAGGGAAGTCTTTTCAAATGTACTGCAGGGGCATTTTTGTTTGTTGCTTGGACGGATTACACCAGTTAGAGAGAGCGGGAGGTTTTAATTACTTAGAAGTTATAGAAATGTACTTCAGGCAATATTAGAAATTTAATTATTGTTTGTTTCTGTCCTGCAGACCCGGCTAAAAATCCTATTTGGCGTAGTTATATGCCTTTTGCTTTCCTTATTACTTATGTGTATTGTTCTGCTTCCATCAAGAGGTAAGGCATTTGTAATCTAATGCAGTGTAAAACACAGTATCTTTAGCTGCTATGGCTTCTGAAGTTCACAAAAGTTTGTCAAATCATCTTTAGTATTGTCCTGTCAAGAATTGTTATGGCTTTATCACTTTGCAGAAGTAGACTGACTGAAATATCCTGAAGGTAGGATTGAAATGCCAGCAGATGTTGAAACAAGGAACTCCTTGAAGTGAAAAGCACCTGAATTAACTTTAGTGTGCATGATATATAATGTTCTTCGACAGGACTGCAAAAATAATTCTCATATTTCCTCGCATTGTGTTATTATTTGTGTTGGGGTTAGGAGACTCTAACAAACTGTTAGTAATTTCCTGTAGCTTGTTGATTGCATTTGGTTTTAGATGGTTGTGTAATAATTACAGAAATTATCTAGTTCCAAGTTAAACATTTTGTTGTAGGTAGGGTATGATGAATTGTTCATTAACATATTTAAGATTTCATTTTAAAATTAAATTCAGCATTGTATAAAATAGGGATGCATAGTTTTCTCTAGCATTATTATGCCAGCTTGTAGGTAAATCAACACAGCGTGGTCTGCCAAGTCCTCTGGTAATGTTTGAAGTGAGTTTGAAATTTAGAGCCAAATCAGGGCACTGAGTTGGTGTCATCTTTTTTCTATGAGAGCTATAGTAAGGGCAATATAAGTATTTGCATGACCCTCTACTCTGCCCTGGTGAGACCGCATCTGGAATATTGTGTCCAGTTCTGGGCCCCTCAGTTCAAGAAGGACAGGGAACTGCTGGAGAGAGTCCAGCGTAGGGCTACAAAGATGATCAAGGGAGTGGAGCATCTCCCTTATGAGGAGCGGCTGAGGGAGCTGGGTCTCTTTAGTTTGCAGAAGAGGAGACTGAGGGGAGACCTCATTCATGTTTATAAATATTTAAAGGGTGAGTGTCACGAGGATGGAGCCAGGCTCTTCTCGGTGACAAACAATGATAGGACAAGAGGTAATGGGCACAAGCTGGAACACAGGAGGTTCCACTTAAATTTGAGAAGAAACTTCTTCTCAGTGAGGGTGACAGAGCACTGGAACAGGCTGCCCAGAGAGGTTGTGGAGTCTCCTTCTCTGGAGACATTCAAAACCCGCCTGGACGCCTTCCTGTGCAACCTCATCTAGGCGTTCCTGCTCCGGCAGGGGGATTGGACTAGATGATCTTTTGAGGTCCCTTCCAATCCCTAACGTTCTGTGATTCTGTGATTCTGTGATGACCCTTTCACTGTATCAGATCAATTGAATGCCTTTTAAATAATTAAAATAGAAATAAAAAGCCCAAATTCCAGTGACAGTAAGGGAGGTTTTTTTCTATTATTATTCTTTGTCCATGGCAGGGTGACTGAGATGAAGAAATCAGTTTTGCATTTAACAACTAAATGTTATAAAATCAACTATCTGCTTAAGTTTTGTGAAAGTTAAGTCCTGTAGTTAATATGCAGGTCTTGTGAAAGGTGAAATCTCTCCTACCTGGTATTTCTGTGGAATATGGCTATCAGGGGTTCTTTCGGTGAGAGAAGGGTTGGAGGTTTCTGAAGCAGTTGGTGTTGATTCTGTTATGCAGCATGTGAATGGAAGGATGGATTGTATCAAGGCTGGGAAGAGATAACACCTCAAAGTAAAAGGTTTGACTTTTACTGTCAATGATGGCATGTCAGATTTTTTGGCTAGCTTAAGCATGATCAAGTCTGAGCTCTCATTACTAGATAAATGTATGGCATTGAGTCAGACGTACTCATACCAAGTCTGCATGTTAAGACGGAGCAGAATATTTTAATGAGTTTTAAATAGAAAAGAACAGTGAAGAAACAAAAAGACTGGAAACGAAGGATCAGTTTGGCAGCCTGATCAAGTTACTAAAGATCGTGGAAGGTACTGTAGGAGGAAGTGAACGTACTTTTCTCTTCTGAAGTTATCACATCCCACCTCACTGGTCTTACTCTGAGCCTCCTCCAGTACCTGAGCCATTAGGAAGCAGTCTTTTAATCTTTGTAGTTTCTCGGAATAATGACTTGGTACCCGGTTGTATCAGACATCACATTTAGATCCAGTAGAATGGTAAAAAATTTATCATACTTTACAGAATGCTTTTGAAGAAGCATTTTAGACAGTTAAGGAATACACAAAGACAGACAGGAAATAGCTAGAAGATGGAATGTTGTTTGTACATTCCACCTTTACCACTGCTTAACTGAAAGGATGTGGCAATCCAGAAAGACAATTAATTGCATATGAGATGTATGGACACAGACTGACTAAATTTCTGCTTACAAAATTGGCAACGAAAAATGTCATCTGCAATGCTGAAAGAACTGGAAGAAATATTTGGTTCTGGTTTTGTCTGAGAAGTTTCTAGTAATTTCATATTCTTTGGACTTCTCAAAATCTGATAGCTGCTTTTGGTTTACATGTGGAAGAGTATAAAAATGTGACAATTTCTCAAAAGATATACTGGAAAATCATTTCCTTTTTGGAGAGGATAGTAAGGGGGAAATACTTAGTTGCAGTTACTATGCTATTTCTGCAGGGCTCAGAAGAGCGAGGCAGGCAGTCTCAATATAGTGAATGGCTTTTATGCCTATGAAATCACTGACAGTTTTTTGACATTTCTTTGAGTAAGGAATGTGCTGTGGTTTACCTATCAAAACCCAGCTACGATAACTCAACTCCGAGTTGAGTTGAGTACATCTTGTACACAGATGTAGCTAGTCCTGTTCTTCTACAGCATAAACAAAAAACAGCTGTCTTTGCTTCTCATTCCAAAGGTGTTTTTGAAGTAACCTTCTCTGAGAAAGCAGTGGCACACCTCACAAAAAGTGACTGAGTGTAACACAGGTGTGGAAAAGCAGATTCAGCTGATGTGGAGCCGAGTGTGACCAGGAGTTCTGGAGCAGGATCAGGAGTGTTGGAATTATTTTGTGATGCTGAACTGGGGTGTGGTTTCCTCAAGTGGAAGGCTGTCTTCCTGCATGTGTTGAAGGAGCTTGTGCTATTCAGCATCAGCCCACAGAGATGAGAATGGGCATTCTAGTCCAGAAGCTGAATATAGTACCACGCTAACCAGTTTTTATTTGGCAAGTCATCTATTTGCAGTGTAGCCATGGATGCTAAATAAAGTACATATAAAAATACATATTTATGGCATACATACAATTACTTATAAAATACATATATACAACCACATAGATAAAAATAAAAAAATACAGAAACCAGAATACTGTCTGATTATTCTGTATGCTTGCTTTAATTTGGCAGGAGTAGACACAATTTATATCAATGCACATTAGACCATGTTGCGGAATAAGCTAACAGGGCTTTGAAATTTAAAGCACAGGTTGTGTCGGTCTACCTATATCCAGTCTTTGAAAGGAAATAACCCTGAGAATACAAACAACATTTCACAGTGATGGATTGGTGTGCATAAAGTTAATCTGAGTTTAATGTACTTGGAAGTTCTGCTGTCTATGTTCTATTAATCTCTCACAACAGTGAACAGAACAGTAAAGGAGAAGGTATCTGCATAAAGCCAGTGACAGTAGATGAGTGCGGACTTTTATCACCGCAGTTACACACGTGCATCGAATACACTCGGATGCATGAGTGAGTAATTATGATCATGGAATATCTAAAGCAAGTTATACTGGGAAGCAAAGTAATGAGTTCAGCCCACAGAGAAATACAAAACTGCACCCTGTAAATGAATGCAACTGGACCACAAAAGATTAAAACTGAGACAGTGGATTGGTGAGGGGAAAAGAACAAAGCTGAAATTCGTTAAGCATTCATTTCAGTGGTTGGCTCTGCTATTTGTTTACTTTTTGTCCCTGGGCATCTTTTTTCATCTTCGTTATTTCACAGAGAAGCAAAAGACAAAGAAAGAATTTCCCAAGCCTAGCAATAGCCATCCAAATTAGTGTCTGTATAGTGCTGCAGACATGTAAAGTACTTCTCATGTTAGGGTCTGTTCTGTGAGCAGAGATTTCGAAAACTGTTATTGAGCCCATCTTTAGTTACAGAAGAAAGACTCAGCAAAAATTATAGGAAACTATTAAAGATGCTGCTTTTAATTAAAACATTTGAAGATATTTTCTGTTGCCTAGAAACAAGCTTTCAACATTATAAGTAATCAAATAGAAGTAGTTGTGTTCAGATTTTTTGCAGTCCACTGATTCAGATAAGAGTGGACACATTTTGAAAATCATTGGCAGTCATAATAAATTATCACAGAATATTAACTATGTGAGAGTGAGACAGCTAACAGAGTAAAGGTTTTAATTAGAGCTGTGGAAATAAGACAAGAGATGTGACATTTGTGCTATTGCTAGTCTTTTGAGTAAAAAGTCATCGTAAGCTGAGAGAACCAGGAAATTTTACCAGATGAAGGTATTAAACAGGACTGCAAATTTAAGCCTCCTATACATACAGCCGTGGAAATCACAGAATCACAGAACATTAGGGATTGGAAGGGACCTCAAAAGATCATCCAGTCCAATCCCCCTGCCGGAGCAGGAGCACCCAGATGAGGTTACACAGGAAGGCGTCCAGGCGGGTTTTGAATGTCTCCAGAGAAGGAGACTCCACAACCTCTCTGGGCAGCCTGGTCCAGTGCTCTGTCACCCTCACTGAGAAGAAGTTTCTTCTCAAATTTAAGTGGAACCTCCTGTGTTCCAGCTTGTGTCCGTTACCCCTTGTCTTATCATTGTTTGTCACCAAGAAGAGCCTGGCTCCATCCTCGTGACACTCACCCTTTAGATATTTATAAACATTAATGAGGTCTCCCCTCAGTCTCCTCTTCTGCAAACTAAAGAGACCCAGGTCCCTCAGCCTCTCCTCATAAGGGAGATGCTCCACTCCCTTGATCATCTTTGTAGCCCTACCACTGGACTCTCTCCAGCAGTTCCCTGTCCTTGAACTGAGGGGCCCAGAACTGGACGCAATGGATCGTAACAGTGAATTTCTTTTGCTAATAGGCATATTCACTTAGAGATTTAAACTGAGAAGTAATCATCACTCAGTATAAATAAACTGGATTCTTCTTTGGAATTATTTTCTATGCATTTTTAAAGAGTTTTCCATCTTCTATGCTTATCATTAACATATCAAAGATCTCTAATGTACAGTCATGGTATTAGCAAGTGGAATTAACTTATTGAACTTCTTGGGGTATTTTCTGGACATGCTGCTAGCTCAGAGTTTATACTGATGGGTTTTTGCCTATTGATTGGCATTCAGTTTTATTTCTTATGACAGCTTTCTTCTGCATTAGTGCAGACAAGGCTAGTGTCAACAGTCAACCTGACATGTGTATTCTACAGTAAGTAATAGTCACTTAGCAGAAGAAAACATGTATTATCATTACAAAGTATCACAGAAGAGAATACGAAGAAATGTTTCCCAGGAAGTCAGTGTGATCTTAACAGAGAGGGCAGCTGTAATGAGGAAGTGATGGAGCATGATCTGAAACCCGAGGACAAGGAGTCATCTTGATTATCTGGCTGTCATCTGAGAGCTCTGAAGGAACAAACAGGGGAAGTGGCAGAGATCTGCTAGGCTGCAGTGTGACATCTCCACTACCTCTGAAGACCGTGGCAAAAGTCCCCTTGATTTTAAAGGGGGTGAGCACAGAAACCAAAATGCCAAGACATTAAAAGCTGCCATTATTATGGCACTGATCTTTAGAAAGTGGCCTTTATCAGAAATGTTCCTGTGTCTTTTGAGGATTAAATATTTTGAGCACTCTTGTGAATTGCATAAATTTTCTTTTTTCTTTGTTTCCTTTTTTTTCTTTTTTATAGTGAAATTTTTCATTTCCATGCACTTAGCAAGCCAGCATTCTCAGCATCACCTTATTCTCATCCAGTTGCTTGTCCTTACAATTTGCTTTAAAAATCTGCCCTAGCTTAAGGTGTTTAGCCTTGGGAAGAAACAGTCAGACAAGACACAAGTTTGTGCATTATTTTTATGCAGCTATCTGATCTGCTTAGAAATCGGATATCAGAGGGCCTGTCTTCTCTCCAGAATCATTGCCAGTTTTCTTTTGCAGCGTTAAATAAAAAGTTGAAGTCTTGGTGCAATCATTCATTACTTTTCAGCATTACTTTTACCTGCATACCTTTGTCTATTTCTTTCATGTGGCTGCTGAGAAATCTATGTGGACAGGGGTTATTTTGCAAGCTCTGTATCCATCTTCTAAAACTGGTTGATGAGGTGTTTATGAAATTTGGCATTAGGGGGCTGTATGCACATCCTGTTTGACAGTCTGCTGAATATCTGCAGGTCCCTACTGAAATAGTTGTCTCTACATGCCACACAAATTCCTGAAATCATGCTTTAAAAAAAACACTTTGGTTTGCCTTTTGTGTGGAAAAGGCTTTTCCTGGACTCACAGGAGCTACAAGTAAATGTGTCTGAGTGAATAAGTGGCTGGGTGAAATAGTTTGTCTAGTTTCTGATTTTGTATTCCTAAAGGTGAGTCCTTCAGAGGCTAAAGGACCTTATCAGAGCAGTAACAGAGAACTTTCTGCTGTGCCTACTCTGCATTCCTCCAGGATTATGCTGTCCTCCCTGTTCCCTCTTGCTAAATACAGAAAAAAGGAAATATTGGACTAGGAATTGCTTTTTCTTTTTTTTCCTTTTTTTCATTTTACAGCATTTCATTAACAGAAACTTTCTCTTTTATTCTTAGTTGTCAACAAAGATGCTGGTCCTAGAGCTCTCACACTGGAGGATTATTTGAATGGAAACTTCCAGTATAAAACATTTTTTCCATATTGGGTGTCAGGTAAGTAAAGCCTTTTTTCAAACATACATAAGCCTTTCTAATCTGTATTTCTAGACTGGTTTACACAGACTCAGAAATGTATTTTCCTTCCAGCTTTACTGTGAGTGAATGCTGACTATGGCATTAAACAATCTGCTGGTCAAAACTTATGGTTGAAATTTACAATTCTGTCTGTCCATCTAGAAATTCCAGGTATTGGATGTTTCAACAGATAAACTACAATTTTACAGAGGCCTTCAGTGTTTAACTTCTGTTACTGTCACATGCATTGCAACAAGTGAAAGAAAGAATGTCAGTGTCAGTCATTCCTTAAACAATCTCCTTTTGTGTTTGTGGCAGCCCGTTTTCACTTACCATTTGTACTAATTGAGGTAGCCTGTCTTACAGACACTGTTCTTTGTTTTCAGAAGTACCTAGCTCTGCAGTGAGCCAAGCTGTTGTCATCTCATTTAAGAAAATTCTGACACTGCTGAAATTCCTGACTTCTAATGCATTGCATAGGAAATAAGGTTGAGTTTCTAAGCAAGATCCTAAAGGTAGAAGATAAAGACATGAAGTTAATTGCTGCTGATGAATGCGCCTGTGTGTGGCTGAAATACAAATCTTATCATTGAATTGCAACTGCACAAAAAAGCCTGAGCTAGATTGGATCAGATTCTAGTACACACACTACTACCACTCCTATCTATGCACTGCCTCAAGCAATGATTGTTCTCTGACTAGAGACAAGGAACATAGCGCCTGTTCACATGGAGTCCTACCAAGTTTGTTTTAACCCACAGTTTTAGAACTGAGCTGAAGCCTTCCAGGACATTGCTAGCAGCAGTGCAAGTTTTACAATTAACAATTCAAAGTATGTTGACACCACTTACATGATTTAAAAATTGTGTCACCGTTTGTTAGAATTCTTTCTGAATGTCTCAAGTATGTAGGCAGCACATCACCTAAACCTAATATTCTTCTCCCTTTATATCCTTCTCACTTAGACTTATCTTTCTTCTTAACAGTCAGAAAGCTCACGCAAAAGTCATGCCATAGATTCCATAGATAGTCATGCCTACAGCATTCCATATGTCTACTTTGCTTCTGAAGCAAGGAGTTAAAATTGAATCTCTCTTCCTAAGGGTGCCTGAGATCACCACAAATGCTGCTGTACATATCACAGAAATGTGCTCAAAAGATCCAAGGGTGATCTAATTTCCTAAAAATGAACACCTTATACAATGTTTCAGGCTGCCTTTGAACTGTTAAAGTCTGTAGCTACACCAAGTATGTAATTGCTTCTCTCTGTTTATAGCAGTGAAAATAATGATGTGAAACTAAAATTCTGATTTTCATTCTCCACCAAACTGTGGCTCAGGACTGGAGCACAGATAGGGTTAAATTCCATTCCCATTGAGGCCACACACTTTGTAAGACCTGCATGAGTAAGTGCAGTATCATCATGTAGTGTCAGTTGTATGGTACTGCTGTTACCTGCAGAATCTGTCCAAATAAGAATGTTCTGATGAAATTAGAAGCAAAGATCTGTTTTTTTCTTAAAACATTTACATATTTTTTCTTCAAAACATTTACATTGTGATAATGAACTTTTAATGGGTCTGTCCCTGATATTCTTGATCAGACATTACTGAGAATAAAATCTGGCATTTAATTATAAAGCTAACTAGCAGATTCTGTGTGCAGTGTAATCTTTGAACATAGTCAAGAACCCTGAAGACAGTTTGTTGATAACTCTGTATGTTGGCATCATTAGAAGAAAAACATTTTTTATGTAGATGCCAAAAGATACTTGCTCAAAATCTATTCATTGACAGGAGTGCAAATACTTCGATAAACAGCTCTGTTCTATAGTATCTTCTGTGCAAGGTAACAGCCCTTTTGTCTTGTTTGTAAAGATAATGAATATCTTCATCAGTCCGCAGAAGATGATATTATTCTTTACAATGTTGAAATGACCTACCCCACTACCATCATGACTAACAGCACAATGGTACGTACCTTTGCATCTCAAGTACCGGTTTAAAAGTGAGTGGATTAAAACCTGGCTCATCAAATCCTTGTTTAAAGTTTTTTTTACTAGAATCTAATCTACTTCTTAATCTTGCAGAAGCAAGTCAATGCTTCAAATTATGTGTTGTCATCAGACAAACATTTCATAGCTCTGGAAAGCAATTATTCAAAGGTAATTATTTTAATACATCTCTTAATTAAATGGTTGGTTTCTTTCAGTATTTTGTAGATTGTGGTTGTCGTAGATAAAATGTTTCTTGGTACTTTCTTGAGAAAGAGGTAGGATGCGAAAAGGCTACTGATTATTTTTAGTTAGATTACCTTTTTCCAAGTTAATAATGTTATTTTCTTGCTTATTTTTTGCAGCTGTGGAGATACTCTTATACAGCATCATACCACATTTATGATCTCATATATGGGTAAGGCCTGACATCTGTTACAGAGAGCTATGGTGAATGTGATGTGCTTGCAAGCATTTCCACTGAAAACTCTATAGTAATGTGTCTAGCATCCTGCTTTGCTTTTGCCTGAATCTATCAGATTATTTGTTTGCTTGAAAAAAATGGCCTCCAAGAAAATCATACAGTCCTCTCATCTACTCATCCACGTATCTGGATTCATTGATGTTTTATGCCCTAAAACTTTCAGTGCTGAAGATTCTCATCTTTTCTTCTTCTTTACATAATTTTCTCCCACCCTGTCTTAGCTGCTTGAGTCCACTTCAGTCTCACACCTGCTGTCTCCATGCCCTTCTGTTGTCTCATTCATCCCTTTTATGGTTGACCTAATCTTTAGCTTTCCCAAAACTCTCTCATGTACTTTAGTGCTCCAGTGATCTTGTAACAGCCCATCCTGGGTTCCTCCAAAGTTTACAGCTTCTCCCATGACATTTGGTCTCTTTTCCAAGATGTTCCCTAAACCACTCCTTTTTCCACCCAAGTTCAAAGAAGGCCATCTGCCTCCCCAGTCACCTTTGTATGCCATAAGTAGCAGCATGACCAAATGCTTCTTAGTTCTGAGCAACAGGGGCTGCACTGAGCTGCTCCATTCTTGGGAAAATGTTTGCTCAAGGTGACAGGAAGAGATGGCTGCAAGCTAATGTGAGTAGAGAGGTACTGCATGTGGGTCTTGATCCTTAACAAGTGTAACTGCTGCTGTGATGATCGCCTCAGCATGCTATATCCTGAGTTCACATTTCCCAGTAACTTGCTGTGACTGTATTGCAGACTGCAGATAAAGCAAATGACACTAGATGCTTGTGCAAAATTTAGAAAGAGATAAGGCTGGCTTCTTAGGCCGTTGAATATGCTTTCAAAGGGTTGAGCTGCAAGCCTGTACCAGCAGTAGTGCACACCATCACATTACTGCATGTCTCGCTGCCTGCCTTAATTTTGCATTGCTCAAGAAACAATAAGCTGTTAGAAAAATATTGCCCTTCATGAATTTTATATGAATGTACAGTATAATGATCCATTTGCACTGTGTGCAAAAAGCCATCTCAACTTCTTTCCTTTTTTAGTGGTTTTGTAACAGAAAATCAGCTTCCACATAAAATTCAGTATATATCCTGGTCACCCGTTGGACACAAATTGGTCAGTAAAGTTAATGAAGCACTAGAATGATTTTGCTTTGTGTGGCTAGAAAACACTTATTTGCCTTTGGTTATTATTTTGTTAGGCCCTAATTTTGACAGGGCTGTGTGTATTAACCTTGGTTCTGAGCAAGAATGACAAAGAAAACAGTTTTAACTTGTTAAAAATTAGCTTGTCTGTGTCTCAGTAGATGAATCCATTTTCTCAGCTACATTATGTATTTCAGTTCACTAGCCAGTCTCTTACCAAGAATTGACCGACATAAGTGGATATAGGATGAAATGTAGTTTCAAGGCCTGAAAACCAGTGTGTTTTCGGCTGACACTGTATAACACATGAGTTTACTGTGGAGATTTAGAGATGCAGTATTTAAAGTCTTTTCTAAAATTTTTACTTTAGGAAATGGCTGCCAGATTCTCATTACAAAAAATGTTTTAGGGTTTTTTTTTAATAGCTACTTGATAGCTAAGTATGTATTTCTCAGTAATTATAATGGACCTATTGCATATAGTAACAAGTTTATAAACTTTTTTATTCTTGATTCCAAGCATCGGCCCAATAATAGTTAGTAGTTTTTAAACGACTTATCCAGTATTGACAAAATATCGTGCAAGAAAAAATCCTTAAACACCATACTAATTTCAGCAAATACCTGGGGAGCGGGCTAAATGTGAATGGACGATTTATTAGGAAATGTTGTGCATGTTCTGGGAGAGTGTGAATTCTTTCAAATGAAATATTGTCATTTCCTTGTTCAAGAATTCCCAAGACAGAACACAGTGAGGATGGTTTCCTATCTTCCTAGTTCTAATAGTCTGGGATGTTTTTATACAGTAGTCCTTGTGATGTATCTGAGGGTTTTAGAAGTTGCTTTGTTTTTCAGTTAAAGCACAAAGGAGTTAAAATTTTACACTGACATTGCTGTCAAGTGCTCATAGATTCAAAAGGCATGATTTGCTAAGAAAGGGATGTTTCTGGTGCTGGTTTCTTAACCATGTGTCCACTCATTTGATTGAAATTTAGAGATACCCGAGTCCTGCAAGAATTTCTTGCAAGAACTCTTTATTGGTAACTAATTTATGAGAAAGGAGCAAACCATCCCAGACAGAGTAAAACCATTTTTCTTTCATCTCACATCACGTAAGCTTTTAGACACATTTAGAAAAGTCCAATTATTTTCTCTTTAATTGTTGTGGATTTGTTTTTATCTTCTGCTTTTGGTGGAACCAGAAGGAAAAGTCGCAAAACACTTTTTCTGAGGGTCTCTTAAAAAACACAGGAATTTGAATCAGTTTCAGAGGCCGTTTATTCATTATTTTCTGCACCAAAAATAGCCACAGAATCCTCTCAAGTTTATTAAAATCAAAGGAGGTGTTCAGGATTTACTCTGACATAGCTGAACGTAGAATTTGGCCTGTAATGTTTAATTTATTTCTTGAGGTACCTACTCCTGCAGAATTTGCAAGGGCTTTTAGTATAGCTTTTATTTCCCGTTTTGTATTCATTCTGTCTTCTTCTTGCTATAATGTAAGAACACTGACTGTGGAAGATCTTACTCTAACTCCTGTTATAGGTGCCTGTACTCACCAAAAATACTTTCTTATCTTTAGGTGTATGTATATCAGAATAATATCTATTTGAAACAAAGTCCAAGAGAGGCACCAATTAAAATAACTAGTGATGGAAAGCCAAATGAAATATTTAATGGGATTCCTGATTGGGTCTATGAAGGTCAGTAAATCTTGAAAGGCAACAACTAACAAGTTAAATGCTTTGTTTAGATTTGTTCTCACAATCCATTCTAGAATATCTGTGATGATACATTATTTTTAGAGCCAATGATTAGATCATTTCCATATTTATTTACCATGCAATGACTGCATTTTGTATTCATAGTGTGTAACAAAAATCCTGACTCTTTTGCTACTAAAACTGTATCAGAACTTTACAAACTGGGCTTCCCTCTGCTGCAGACAGTGGCTGACAATTAAGCTTTAATGGAAGTTACAATTTTGGTGAAAATGTGGTACTTCAGTGCATTAAAACAAACAAACAAACAAAACCAAACAAATAAAATAAACACTTGCACACGGGAAAACCCCAAGTGAGTTAAATGGGATCCGTGTGCCTGTTTTAAGAGTTCCTAAGGCCTTTCAGAATTGAGATGTATTGCAATATGTTTGGTTTTATTTATTTAGTATAAGACTCTTTACATGTCTAGGCTGCTAAAAGCAGAATGCTAAAATAGATCAGAAGGTAGATTGCAATGATGAGCTATCATGATTTTTTTTTCCTCAGAGGAAATGCTAGCAACAAAATATGCACTGTGGTGGTCTCCGAGTGGAAAATATTTAGCATACGTGCAATTTAATGATTCTGACATACCAGTTATTGAATATTCATATTTTGGTGAGGACCAGTATCCCAGAAAGATAATTATCCCATACCCAAAGGTACTTTTTCTTACTCTTTTGACTTGCTTTCTGTTAAGCGATGACTTATGACAAAGATAAAATTAACTGTGCTTAAAAAGTGGTTGTATTACAATGGTTAAATCCATTGTGGCCTAAGTTAATGAAAGAAAATAAACTTAGGCCAAGTTCTGAAAACATACAGGTACATTCAAAACTGTAATATCAGTGAAATAAATGGAATTACTCATTTAAGTGAAAAGCATGTGCAATAGTGACTTTTTTCAAGTCAGTTTACTTATTGTGATGTGTTAACTATGCAGTTGTTCTTTTGCATTGCAGTAAATGATGAAACATTTCATATTTTGAACAATAAAGTCTATGACAGTCCCAGTTTATTTGCACACTTCATAGTGCTTTTTGATCTCAAGGGGCTTTGGATTTTAACTGCTTTTAAGCGCCAGATCTAAGGCAAGAAGGTTTTGGATTGGCATTTTTTCAGCATCTATTAGAGAGCTCTCCTGACTCTTGTCACGTTTGCGTGATTGCAAGTGATCATGTTAATGTATCTTAAGAAGTTACTTACCTGTCAGCTGGGTTACAATTCTAAAGTAAAGCTGGACGGTTTAGACCACACATGGAGGACAATTATAAAACTAATAACGTATGCAATGTATAAGCAAGCATGAAATCAGTTTAAGCTAAACCATTTTATTTCACAGCTAGGATGTCAAAGAGCACTTGCAATCATGTGAATATACTTTCAGTACTTGAAGTTTTATGCCAAAGTGAGTGTAGTCTGTGCTGCAGTGATCCACACTGCAAACAGAACACTGGTTCCCATCAAGCACATTTTCTGTAAAGAAAGGCACTAAATTTGACTGTTTAAGAGGTTTTCTTCTTTATGTATGAAATGATGCAAAGTTAAGTAACGTACTACTGCTGTAGTGTCACTCTGAGATCTTGTAAGACAGCTGCCCTATTATACTCAATTGAATACATATTCTGTAACCTATCTTCTTTCCTGCAACAAGTATTGTAATTTCCTCAATCTGAATTGTTCAGCATCTGATTTGAATAACCTGATACATTTTCTTTGAAGGCTGGGGCTAAAAATCCTACTGTTAAAGTGTTTATTGTAGACACGATTAACACTGAAGCGTTTGGTCCCAAGGAGGTGCCAGTTCCTGCAGTTATAGCATCCAGGTAGTATGCCCTCAAATACATCTTCTAGTTTTTAAAAAAAGGTTTAGTCTGTTTGTTTTAAATGCTTGAACCTCTGAGTTGTTTTCTAACAGTGGAGTGCTATATTCATCTCCTAGACAGATCAGAAGCTAACTAGAAATGTTGTGTTTTGATTCTATCTGTCCACTTGATACATTGGATACAAAGGAAAAAAGATCCCTAAGACAGTGGAAGCTTTGCTCTTGTTTTCCATAGAGCAATATGGGGTATACAATCTGTAGTAATGCTTCTGTATTCCTATTCTTTAATAACCATCGTTACTTTCTTTTTTCCTGTTATTTTTCAGTGATCACTATTTCACTTGGCTTACTTGGGTAACAGATAGTCGAGTCTGTGTGCAATGGCTGAAGAGAATCCAGAATTTTTCAGTCTTAGCTATTTGTGACTTCAAAGAAAAGTCAAATACTTGGGACTGTCCAGAGGTAATAAAGTTGGAAACATAAATTGAACTTTGCTGAAATTAGCATTTGCTAATCCCATCTGCATAGCTGTTTTAACACCTACTGGTCATGCACAGGGTGCTCTGACTTGCTTGCAGAAGTGTATTTATTCTTGCCCTGAATACTTTTAGAAAATAACTGTGTGCCTGCTGTAATTGTGTTTTCCAGTGCTTGATCAAATTCACCTTTTAACTACTAGTGATACCTTTTTCTAAATTTTAATTGCTGACAGAGGGATGAAAAATTTATAATTGCACCAACAGGAAATGAAATCACCAAAGTACTTTTTAGTGAGGCTTAAATAACAGTCAAAGCAAAAAAAGATTTCTTTGAAAGACCTTGTAGAGCCCGAAGACTGTAAACACTGAAAATCCATATAGATCCTGGAGGAAAATATAACCCCGAATTTCAGTAAGTCTAATATAGAGCTCTCATTTATTGTCTTCTAGTATTGATGCTGTTTGCATGTCTTGTTTTTAGAGTTTTTGGTACAGAACACCTGTGAAAACTAGCACAAGGCTTACACCTTGAACTGATGGGAAATAAAAGGCAAGAATACTTATAAGAGTGTTCTGTATAACTGGTAAATTGTAAATTCGGGGTTTCTTGACAAAGCCTTTCCAAGCGGAAAATAATTTTTATTCCTCTATGAAATGACAATTGTTGTAAATTCAAAAGGAAGTTAAGGTCCTGTTCTTTCAAAAACATTATCACAGAAGTAATTATGCATGGGGATACATCTTAATTTATTATGAAAAAATACATGTTTACTGCAGCATTTGATGTGTTTTCTAAGTAACTGTTGCACTTTATAAGTACATTAACACTGAATCTCTATCTTGCCTGCAAGTAACCTACATTTTAATAACTAAAACTTTTAATGCACATCAAAAAACAAGCAAGGGTTCTAGGATTCTGCAACAATCCGCTAAAGAACTTTAGCACGAGTTTAACTTTAAGCATGTAAGCAGTTTTATTTTTATTTATTTCACTCAGTCTATTTATGTGTTTAAAATTAAGCATGTGCTTAATTGCTTTGCTGGAACCAGACCAGAACAATTAACATCTTGCAGGACTGTGTTCATGATCCTTGTTTAATTGCATTTCTCCATGAAACTTTATTTATGGAGTCACTCCTGACGTTTCTGTAATTTTATATTTATACAGTGATACAATGCTTTTATCACATTAAAGTTTGCACAAATGGCCAATTGAAGGAGTGTGAACAGATGGGAGAGCTGCATTAGCTTTATTTGCTGTTAGAAAGTATATCTCTGTATGTTTCCATTGGCAAAAATAGTTCTCTTGTTGATTTCAGATTAAATCAAGACTCTAATGTACAATAAATGTGCTAGGCTTTACGTACTTGAAAATAATAACAAAATATAATCTACAAGATGTTCCTAAAGTGTCATCAAAAATGTTCACATGTTCAAATCTTGTTCATGTGAATAGACCATAGAAACCCGTGTGACTTCAGTGGAACTGTTAATGTGAGTAAAAGCTAGGCATTTGTTGTGAAATTGGGATTTCCTATCAAGATGCCAGCTCTCTAATTAAAGTCTGTAAATACTTTACTACACAGACAAATCCCATAGAAGTCAATGGGACTACTCATATGAGAGAAGTTAAATATATCCTTGGTGTATCAAGATCTGAGCCTTAATTTAAAGACAGGAAAATAAATTTAGGATGCAGATCTAAAACAATACGAGTGTCACGAGGATGGAGCCAGGCTCTTCTCGGTGACAAACAATGATAAGACAAGGGGTAATGAACACAAACTGGAACACAGGAGGTTCCACTTAAATTTGAGAAGAAACTTCTTCTCAGTGAGGGGAACAGGCTGCCCAGAGAGGTTGTGGAGTCTCCTTCTCTGGAGATATTCAAAACCCGCCTGGACGCCTTCCTGTGTAACCTCATCTGGGTGTTCCTGCTCCAGCAGGGGGACTGGACTGGATGAGCTTTTGAGGTCCCTTCCAATCCCTAACGTTCTGTGATTCTGTGATTCTGTGAATACATCCCATTTTTCTTCTCTTGAAAAGAAATAAAATCCATCTTCTGGGTTAGTAGCTCAGTGGAGCCCTTGCAGAGTACTAAAGAGTCTGCTGAGGGGCAAGTACCTGCAACTTTTGCTCAAGTCAGTCACTTCGCAGGTGCTGAGTTGAAAAGGTGAAAACATTATTCTGAATGCTAATAAGATTACTCTGAGGATAACAAATGCAAAGCATATTCTTTGGAGAGCAAATTTGTTTAATTTATTTTAGACTGTATTAAATGAATAGCGTAAAGTTTGCAGGATTAAAAAATTAAATACACTGAATCCAGAATTGTTAAATATTAAATCACTTGCTTCATCCAACAAGCAAGATATTGCACTCTTCAATGAAAAATCTTAGGGGAGTATTGAACACGCACTAGAAACTTTGTAAGTAAAACAAAAATAAAAATGTAAAAGCCCTTTAAGCTGCAGGAAGTGCTGATCCATTTTAAGAATTTTTTTAAATTGGCTTTAAGAATGTTACCAGGAGTTACGACCTGTGAAACTTATATTCATAGTCTAAGGATATGATATGGCAAATGAACCAGCTGAGATTATAACACAGATTTTTAATATTATCGTTCCTGAAATTATTTTACTTGGGTTTTTACTGAAAAATTAATGAGATTAAGTAGTTGTTAATTCTTGCTTTCAGTGAAAATGTTGCATAAGGTTAAAACAATGACTTTAGATTTTATTTAGATCTGATGACAGCTGTTAAATAATATTTTAACTAACATAATGATATTAATCCAGTTATGTTATTTACCTTGGGAAATGAAGTCCCAGAACCTTAATAGCAAGTAATCTAAAATTCTCTTTTATAGGTGGTTGAATATTTTTTTATTTGAAAATTTTGAATCTCCATCAACTCATTCTTGAACTTCTTAAAGAGTGTACACCTGATTTTGTTTTTCAGAATCAACAGCATGTAGAAGAGAGTCAAACAGGATGGGCAGGCGGAGTAGGTTTTCTCATCGTACTGTGTTTTGATTTAATGAAAAGCTACAGCTTTCTGCATCTTCACAGCAGTGGTTTGAAACATGAAGCACCATTCTGAGTCATACAGCACTACTGCTTAAACCTCTCGCACTGTAGGATTAAGACTTTTAATGCTACACTAGGCATACTGTCTGGCTACTTGCTTTCTGAGTTTAAAAACCCTTTTCCTGTCTCCTTTTGCCAATCTTAGGCCAACTGATTAGACACTATACTGAAGAGAGGGAAGTCATGAAAAGAGGTAGATTCACGTTGCAGTGTAATTCTTAGAAGCATCCTGGGGGCAAAGAATAGAAGTAAAATTCCTCTGGTGTCACTAGGGCAAGAAATAAGATCAGTTATACCATAGCATTTTAAGAAGAAAACCTGTCCACCCAGAACACAGTTTCAGTGACAAGTGCTGTACATCTTCAGCTAGGGAGGAACCTTCAAGGTAAGATACCCCACTTGCAATGGTAGTTGATACTTCTCTGCAGTTACCCCTAAGCAAAAGAAATATTCTCTACCCAGTAACCTGTATCTTGGAAGAGACATAACACCTGTCTTTGGGAACTCAGTAAAGACAGACCTGCAATGAAATCGTAACAGCATGAGATGAGTATTCACAATCATATACTCTAACAGTGAATATATATTACTGCTTATGTTTACTCCTCAGACAGGTGAAGTTACCAGAATCAATATGGGGAACCTCACACAGTGCCTGAATATCCTCCAGTGGGCTTAACTGAGAGTCTTGATTTTCATTATACTGTCCTTTAAGAGATGTGTTTTTATTTGATGTGAAGATTACACATTTATAATGATTAGTTATTTTACTTGTTCCATTTCTTTTTTTTTGCCTCTCTTGAGGTTATGATGACAGGATTTTATTAGAGCCAAAGAAATTGCACACATGCATAAATACCTGCTTTAGCCTTTATGGGATTTCAAGCATTAGGAATATTTGAAGCAGGCTCCACAACAATTTAGGTTGTGGTCCCAGGTTCTGGTCGAGCTTGGGTTAGTATTATTCAGAAATCATACGCACTCAGGAATATTTGGTGCAATGTATGTTTGAAGTACTTGCAGGTCATTCATCGGTGTTCATGTTTTGAAAACAAGACTCATCCTTGACTGACACTTTTAGTAAAGAGGTGACGATTTGAAAAGAAGCAAAAGTTGAATGGTCATATCTGGGATAATCTGTTCTTTAACATCAGTGGAATAGGATGGGAAACTTCAGATACACATTTACTTAGTGCAGTATTTGCTCAGTGAATCAGACAAACTGTGGTGCATGGGATTTTCAGTCTGGCACCATTCATGAACATTAGCTTTATTCAGAAACTTACTTTTTAAAAATCATCTCTACCCATTTTTAAATAACTAAAGAAAGGTCATTCAGAATCTACAAACAAATTATTCCAATTACAAGTAGAGAGCTTGCATTTGTGGGGTATTTGAGGTATCTATATTATCAGCTTAAGAAAGCTGACATGACTGGTTAGAAAATGCACTGTGTACTGACTGAGATTGCATGTCACAAGTAAACACTTGTGCACAGTACTGTGTCCCATCTGAACTATCAAATAGTCTTGCTACTTTAGTATGTGCACTACAATCTGCTAAACAGTTTGGACAGTCTTATTACATCTCTGCTACCATTTTTCTTCTGTTGTTTCAGTTCTTTGTTTCTGCACCATATTTTACATCAGACAGCAGTTCATACTACAAAATTTTCAGTGACAAAAATGGTTATAAGCATATTCATTACATCAATGGCTCTGTGGTAAGTCAAGCAAAGTGTTCTGCATTGATCTACTGTAAGTTCCTGAAATAATTCTGCACTGTTCAATAACTTACATGTCTTGCTACACAGGAGAATGCAATCCAAATTACAAGTGGAGAATGGGAGGCAATATACATTTTCAGAGTAACAAATGATGCAATGTAAGTATCATGAAGAAGAGAATAGGTTGTGAGTGTTGTCAGTAAAAGCAACACTTGATCATTTGAACACCATTTGTTAACTCATCAAGTTATAACTAGGTATAATTTGTTTTGTATCTGAATGTATCCACAAGAAATTTGTATGCAAAGGCACTGCACAGGTTTGCAAACTTGGTTTACTTATGGGAGATTTTTTGCAAATTGCCTCATTTTCCTATTTCTTTTCAATCACCCATCTTAGACTTATTTAGAAGTACTGAAATTTAATCATGTGGTTAACCCTCATACAATTGGCTGTAACTTCTCTTTTTATGATCTCTCATTCAAATTACTATAGATAGATAAAGCTTACATAATTGGAGTGGTTAGCTAATGAGAATTAAGATAGAACTCCTATTTATAGGGTTTATTTGTCATCTAATCAGCGTTTGAGCAAAGATTTATTAAGATGAAAGGTATATAAGCTTAACTTACTCTTCCATCACACGCAGAAATCTCAAAAAGTCTAAGTTAACTACCAAGACGGCTTTTCATCTTGATGCTGGTTCATAGGTCATCACTTTATGGATTATTTATTAACATATACATGAATTTACAGTTTCTATTCAAGCAATGAATTTGAAGGCTATCCAGGAAGAAGGAATATTTACAAGTAAGTGTTATCAACATTATCTTAACGATACTAGATTGATAGAAGATAGCTCTGGATTTCTCAATAAAATAATTTAGTTTCAAGATGTTTGAAGTGTAGTTTCACAAGCTATATTAACTAATTCTTGACCCCAGATTATATGTGAGAATTGAGGAGAAATAGCCTCTAAAGTTTAAATATACTCTTGGGGGGAAAAAGTCTAAAAAGGGAAAACATTTCTTTTTAAATGAAACTGTTCTGGAAGTACAGTGCCTGTGTTCTAGGATGGGAGGCAGACATCTGTGAAGTAAGTTGTAGCAAAATAAATATTGCTTTTTTTTTCCTCCTAGAATCAATATTGGAAGTAGACCTATCAGAAAACAATGCATTACTTGCAATTTAAGAAAAGAGAGATGCCAGTATTATACAGCAAGATTCAGTGAGCGTTCTAAGTACTATGCCTTGATCTGTTATGGTATGTATAGTGTGGGACAAACAATCACTTGTTCTTTCAGATTTATCAGAGGTGTAGATAATGCTTGCTATCCCAAATCACAGAATCACAGAATCACAGAACGTTAGGGATTGGAAGGGACCTCAAAAGATCATCCAGTCCAATCCCCCTGCCGGAGCAGGAACACCCAGATGAGGTTACACAGGAAGGCATCCAGGCGGGTTTTGAATGTCTCCAGAGAAGGAGACTCCACAACCTCTCTGGGCAGCCTGGTCCAGTGCTCTGTCACCCTCACTGAGAAGTTTCTTCTCAAATTTAAGTGGAACCTCCTGTGTTCCAGTTTGTGTCCGTTACCCCTTGTCCTATCATTGTTTGTCACCGCGAAGAGCCTGTCTCCATCCTCATGACACTCACCCTTTAGATATTTATAAACATGAATGAGGTCTCCCCTCAGTCTCCTCTTCTGCAAACTAAAGAGACCCAGCTCCCTCAGCCGCTCCTCATAAGGGAGATGCTCCACTCCCTTGATCATCTTTGTAGCCCTACGCTGGACTCTCTCCAGCAGTTCCCTGTCCTTCTTGAACTGAGGGGCCCAGAACTGGACACAATATTCCAGATGCGGTCTCACCAGGGTAGAGTAGAGTAGAGTAGAGTAGAGTAGAGTAGGGCAGAGTAGCTAAATGATAGCTAAATGAATCAGAGAAACAGGAGAGATTTCCAGAAAGAAACTTTTTCATGTCCAAAAACTTTGTGAAGATTTTTCAGAAAAATACAAATATTTTCACTCTATATTTTTTTACTTTTGCAACAAAAATCTTGGGATTTTTAGAATTCCAAATGAATTTGTGCAAGTCCTTCATGGATCACAAAACAGATTCTAATCTGGCTCATCAAAGTCATACTTTTTCTTTCAGCAGCAAGAGCAGGATTTAGAAACACACACTGATTTCCAATTCACGTGGTCAAAGTTAGCTATGAGAAACTACTACAGTGTGTTTCCCAATTGAAATTATTAAAGCCTGTGTCAGCCACAAAATGTTGGATATGTTCTGTCTAAGAACTTTTAAAATAGATTAAGAAAATTAAATTCATCAAGATGTGTGATCATTCAAGCCACTTGTAACACAGAAGTATTAAATGAAGTCTTAGCATTTTTGAAGTAAGTTAGGTGATTTCAGTGATCTGAGGTTTCATCCATTGCTGTGATCAAAGAACAGTGAAGTCACAATCTAACAAAAAAGGAAAGAAAAATATCCACGGTTTTCCTTTTGCGTATTTCATGTAAAGTTTACTGTTCCGATTCTGCACTGTCTGATCAGCTGAAGAGTTCCTTAGAACTTCCCCTGAGCAGAGAAGGAAATGTAGCAAATAATACCACCTTTCAATCATTCCTGCACAAAATAGTCAGTGAGGTCGTCACCATGTGAAAGGCACTCACCTTCACAAACTTGATGTGACATGTTCTCAGAGCAATGTTTCACATTGTTAATTCTGCATTTCCCTTACGTAATCACATCTCAGGTATTAACTGGATAGCACTTCATCTCTAGAGAGGAACGCTTTGTTAGTAAATTTGAAGTTACTTCTATTCTGTTTCCTAAGCCATGCCTGTATGTAATACAAGTTTATGTACACAGAGTACCTGACATATTTTGTGCAGCAGGGACTAGTGGATCATACAGCAGAGAAGATTCAGATTTGTGTATCACCTTTGAGTGCTTTAACACCTGTCCATTACCAGTGTTAATTGGTAACTCCATCACTAAATTCCAGCTTCAAACTATAAACTGCCTTCTTATCATTCATCTGACAGGTCCTGGGATTCCCATTTCTACTCTTTTTGAGAACTACGGCGATAGAGGTACTGCAAATCTACTGCATGTTTCTAAGAAATTGTTTTCCTCGTTAATCTTCACTATGCACATCCTCTAATACAATATTCAGGATTGTGATCAAGAAGCCTTTCATCTTGTTTTTTATTAAAATATCTAGTGTCTTCCTACATTTGTTAATTAGTAAAATCCAAGTATCGATGCCTTTATTTTCATTCCTGAGTCCAGCACTTTTATAGCATCCTGATGTTTACACACTCTAGATGCAGTGAGCATTGGCAACTCTTTGTCTACCAAATACTGAGTAAAACTCTGTAGAAAACATTGTTGTGGTTTCCAAACTATTCCTTTTCACATTTGCATGAACACAGGTCTTTCTGATTTATTTAATGAAGCAACCCTACCCTATTCGAAAGGCAACAGTGTACTATTTAGAGTTTGCCTTTTGATCCATTGTACTGTACTGATTAGAATTTGGATCAGTGACTTGCTCTTCAGCCATTGGTGGAGATGTCAGGGAAGAGCAGAAGCTCTTTCAGATGATCAGTTCAAATAACTGCTTCAGACAAGGTGTAATTATTGCTACAAAATGGGAACTCTGACAAGAAACATTCAGAGCCCTCTTTCGTTAAGTACCCTATTAGTGAGGACTTTGCAACCAGGCCAAGCAGGAATTTGCTAACCATTAAAATAGTAATTGCTCTGCACTGAATTTTCTCTCTCTGTCCCATTTTTTCCCTAAAAAACTTCTCCAGCTTAACACCTTTAGTCCTGAAATGTTACGAAAACTAGCAGTGTCCTGTAAAAAACTTCAGTGATTCAGCCTTTCTTCCCCAATAATCAGTGGAAACGTAGTGATAGTTCTAATGCCAGCATCCTTACAGTTCAGCCTATATTGATAACCCACTGCTAACTGAGTCTTGTCTGACCAGAAGACACATAAAAACATGAGAAAGACAAATGTCACAGTATTGTTAAGCTAAATTATCAGTAGTGATTCTTCTAGAAGTTAATGAATTGCAACACAAGATTATTTTGACACCAGAGTTGGTACTTCTTAGTTTTTAACCACTCCAAAATGTTTGCAGATGGAAAAGACTGGCCAACATGTCTATTGCAACTGTGCCATAAAGACACTGTTCTTTTGGTATTTCTTTTGCAGAAGATTTAAATAGGTTTAAAGATTTAAGTACAGCTAATGCATGGATTTTTTAATATTTAATCCATTGTCATAGTTCTCTGTTTTCCATGATTCACTATGACCGTGTGTATCAAGGGCTTCTACTGCTTCCTTAACAATGTATGAATTGCATGAAATGCAGCTAAGTGCCCAACCACAAATAGGTGTTTCTTAACCTCTCCGCTGGAGAGAACAGTCTCATTTCATGGATCTCTGCTACTGCTTTCATGATGTCTCACGCTGCTGTGCCGTTATTCTTCGGGGATAAAAACAAATTCAGTCTTCTCTTTTACTTTTTCATGAACTTTTTTGGATTAATTTTCTTTAAGTCCTTTGCTTTCATAATCTTTTTTTTTAGTAGATCCACCTTCATTGCAGTTGGCAGCATTTTGAAAATCTGTCACCTATGAATTTTAGTAGGAGGCATGCAGTTAAACTGACATACACCAGCTTGGAAGCTTCTTCCAGCATGCCTACAATTTATTTATGATAATGGGCAAGTTTCAGCAGTTCTGAGGGGAAGGACGGAAAGGGCTTCAGCTGAGTTTGGGTGAGCATCCAAAACTTGGATGATCTTTCAGCCATAAAGCCCCACTTGAATCTGCAAAACTTGTCAAGAGTACTTTGAAAGAACAAACTCAGTGTTATATTTCTGGCATGTCCTGAGCACTGTCTAGCTCAGGACATCCTGAGAGAAGTACTTACTGTATATATATATATATTTTTTTGCATTTCCAGAAACAGGAAGTGGTTGCCATTAAAAAAGAAAAGGGTAAACTACCAAGAAAAATTCCCTGCAGTGTTAAAAGGTTCTTTCATTTTGAAAGCGAAGCTCAAAGTCACAGATTTCCATTATGTACAATATTCTTCATCTATCGCTACTCATGAGAAAGCACATAAAGAAACAAGTAATACCCAGTGGATTCATAATTTATAGTTTTGCAGTCTATGCTGGAAATTAACTAAAGTTTAAATGGTAACTTTTAAATTATATAACTGTAAATTTATATAATAGCATTTGGTGTAGAATTGGTCTAAATCAGGTAAAACAAAATTACTAAATACTTTTTAGATTTAGAAAAAACAAACAATATCAGAAGAAGTTCGCTAAGTGTGCAGTAATGTATTACTAAGGACAGTCCTGTGGTAAGTCTGGTATCTTTGTGTAGGAATACACTGTACACTGGTTAAGCAAGGGTTTGCCACAACTCCGTAAGAAACTGAATTTCCTGTGTTAGCCCAGACTCAAGAGATTCCCAAACATCGATGCACTTAACCACACTGCCCAAGGGTCTCAGCGGTTAAACTGATGTCACTGTGAGAGATGAGATGCAGGACTGTGTTTTGCATGATGGGATGAATTTTGCATTTCCTGCTCTCATGATATTACAAAAATGGGATGAGGGCTCTGCAGGAGAAAGGACTTTCTTTATAACATCCAGGACTCTTAACATTCAGAGGCAACATGTGAAATGATTTGCATCCCATAAAAATCTAACAAATATTTGTGCACTATAATACCAGTGCCTTGCTTTTATTTAGCTATGCAATCAAGCCCAATTACAGGTGTCTGTGTTGATTTCATTACTCTGCTTGTAAAATTTACAGATTTCCTTTCTGTTCTAATAACATACAATAAAGGAACCTCAATTAATGAAGAGGAATTAACAATAAATCAGTTGATAAATCAGGCATTTCTGGCATTTCTTTTACTTAGAGCTCATAGTATTGGAAGACAATCGGGAATTGCAGTCTGCTTTGCAAGAGATCAAACTGCCAAAAGAAGAAATTAATAAACTCGAAGTGGATGGTATAAGTAAGAATTACACATCTTTATTTTAGTTCTTGTTCCTATCACTTTAATATTTTGCCTTCATTTTGTAATAGTATTGTCTTTCTGTGGAACAAACTTGTTATCCTGTGGGACTGGGAAGAGGCGTGGTTCTGCCATGTTTGACAAGAACCAATTTGCTTGTGCCTCAGGGTGTATCTCAGTAAAACAGTAGTTAAAATGCATCTCTGCTTCATAATGCATTTTTTAAATTCGTTAATACTGTTGGTAAAGTGTTTGAGTACCGTGTAAAAACACTGTAGCACGGTGGTAATGAAATGTGAAATGTAAGCTGCTGTTCATGTGTTACACATACTGACTTGCACACATAGTTGTTTTCACTAGTGACTTTACAAACAATATTCCGTGGTAATGAATCATTGTAAAGTTTCCAGAACTCATTTCTCATAATTTAACAACACTTACATTCCTAGGTGTGTTTTCTAGGCACCTGGAAAACTGAGAACCTAGAGTTACATGAAATAATAATTGTATGCATAGCTAAATTAAAATAAAAGTGAGCACTTTATTTCTTCAAAGTTGTTCTTCAGCAGTTCAATATAAAGTTAGTTGCATCAGTTCTGTCATTCAGAGTGCATGCATTGTGTAGTTTGTGCTGAGCTATTTTCATATACTATTACACCAAACTCTGGATACTGCTTGGAGGAATCCCTTTTAACCATTAACAGTGTAATTTCAATATGTCTTTTCTAGCTTTGTGGTACAAAATGCTTCTGCCCCCACGGTTTGATAGATCCAAGAAGTACCCTCTGCTTATTCAGGTGTATGTAACACTTTCTTGCTTTGAATGTTGTTATTTTGTCAGAAAACATACTACTTAAAATTTAACAAAACGTAGGAAATTTGCAACATTTTATGAAACAAAAGCAAAACCACTTTGTTGTTTTGTTGTGGTGGGTTTTTTAATGTATTTCTGGAATAGAAATGCAACCCAGTGGAAGTCAATGGGGTTTTTAATGTTAATCTTAGCATGGCAAGGATTAGTTCCTCAGAGAAAGAAAAAGGATAAAATCATGTGGGCTGTTGCCTGAAGTTCTTAGCTCTGTTGCTGCTTCTGTTTATCCTGAGGCAGGCTGAAATTATTGATTTCGGCTTTGCTAGTATGAAAGATACAAGAGCTTGTTTAATTTTTTAAGTAAAAAGCCCAAACCCCTAAACCTTGTGGACTGGCTTCTTTCATCAAATGTTCCATCAAAAGAGCATTTGGTGTGAATTTAATTTACTGCAGGCAGGAAAGGCAACAAAAATGCAGTGGTACAAAAAAAAAAAAAGAGAGGCAAAAAGGAGAGCTGAGTGGGTATAATAAATCTTACATAATTTTATATTAACCAGAGACGATCCAAAGGTCCAAGAATGCCAAGGACATCTGAATGAAGTTTAGAGTAGAAGATTAAGTCAGTCATGTCCTTGAGGTCAAATGTACAATTTGCATTAGACCATTCTCATGAGGAGTGTCTCTCTGTGTGCTCAGCTCTGTGGGGTGTGTTCTGCCCACAGCTCCAACAGCACATGATATTCCCTACCGATATAAAGAAGGTTTGGGATGGCCAGAACGAGTAGTACTTCTTTTCTGCTGCTTTCTTTGATATTGTTGCTTTCTTTGATATTGCATGTGGGGATCAAATGCAGAAAAGCACCAGAAAGGGCTGTTATACCTAAGGAGTTTGGAGAGAGGAAAGAATTGAGGCATGAGTCTTCCAAGGATTTCCCTTAGGACAAGCACCTGATGCTGCACCCCTTAATCTGAGCTAAAACTAATGATTTGCTTTAGGTGTAAGACCTAAAGAATTAAAATGGATTTTAGACAGCAACATCTCACATATATATGAAAAGGGTAATTGAACTGCTGAGCTACTGAGCTCTCTGAACCGCAGTCATATAGCAAAATACTTGTGGAGAAAATGGGAGAAGTACCAGTAGCTATAGTCCAGTACCAGGTAATCATGTATAAATTTATAAATATGAGTTGAAAATGTGAATTTTCATGCTCAGGTACGGAGGACCTTGCAGTCAGAACGTAAAGGAAACATTTAGCATTAGCTGGATAACCTATCTTGCAAGCAAAGAGGGAATTATTGTTGCTCTAGTGGATGGCAGAGGGACAGCTTACCAAGGTGACAAGATTTTGCATGCAGTCTATCGAAGACTAGGAGTCTATGAAGTTGAAGACCAAATCTCAGCAGTGAAGTAAGTAGAGTATATCCCTGTATAACTATTAATTTACCTACTTACAAGAAGTAATGTGAAAAAAATATTAAATATACTTTGCAGCCTTTCTTCTGGAGAGCTGAGGTCTCCAGGAAATAAGACAAGAAGACTTGCAGAAATAAAATATTACTGAGGTGCTTGATGTCAGTGAGGTTTTGTGTGGTGTGTTAAGTCCCTATACTACTGAGTCCACATTTGGACCTCACCACTTCCATTTTATAAGAGCATCATCAGAAGCTTCAGTCCTAGGCCTAAGGAAACACAAGCGTCAGTGGTGAGAAGTCAGCCCATGTATTATGTGTTATTCTGAAGTTTTCTCTGTAGGGGAAACCTCCATCAGTGACCGTAGGGATTAGCCAGAGATCCATAGGGATGTACCACACTGATTAGCTAATGGTCAGATGTGAAGTCTGCAGCAAAACTGAATCTTGACACAAACCTTCCAGAGGTCTGTTAGTTAAACTGCTAAACTTACCCTCCTTGCTATTTTAGGATCGTTATAAGCAACAGAGAGTGTCTGAGGTCTTCCGGTAGTTGTTCTGCAACAGCTGCTCCTTTGCATCAAAACACTTGAAGTGTTCCACAGGAAAATAATTATCTTGGGAGTGAAAGCTGAGGCTTTGTAAAGAAAGGCTGCCTGTTAAGCTTACAAATGCAGAAGCACTGCTAAAATGAGCTTTTAAGGAAGTGTTAGTTTGAACCCCACAGATGTGAGTGCAATGCAAGAAGAAGGAATTTAGCCTTTGGTATGGCATTTGGCTGTCAGAGCATGGATAGATTTCCAAGTGCAACAGTAAATGCAGTCTTTCCCCAAGTAATAGGCCTGACTCTGAGTAGCTTAGCTAGAAATTGGATGTAGCAGTCCAGGTTTCCACAGCTTTTTCTGCTTGTTTGAGAACACTGCTTGTATTTACAAGTGTGTGTGAGGAGGGGGTCTGTTCCTTCCTCTGTCTGCTTTGTGATAATTCATTTCCTCCTCACTGATACAAACACACCATTATCCTTTTCAGGGATAAATGAAACAGAGTAGCTGTATATCATATCAGGTTTTTCTATTAATGTATTGTTAGATTTTCTTTCTTGAAACTTTTAGCAACAATGGCACACTTTAAAATATCACAAGAGTGTATGTTTTTTTATTACTCTAATATCATTCAGACATAAAATGTCAGAGACAGAGGGAACCTAAACTGATTCTGCAGTTGCAAAATTTGCTGAAACAGGCTGTGAAGAAATTACCTCAGACTTCACACTTCCCAGTTTTCTGTCATCACCTAGACTGAATTTTTCTTCAGTTAAATGCATTGCATTCCATGTTCCTGATCTAACGCATTGTTTAAGATGCAGCATTTTCAGAGAGGATCCTATACTCTAGTGGGAAGTTCTTGGAGGAGCTTTTACTGTGGGAGGAACCCCAGGGATTAAGAGCGATATAACAAAGCTGAATCATTTTTTGGCTTTTCTAACTTTGTCCCACCCAGTAGTATCCCACATTTTGGGTGGTGTTAGTCACTTGTGCTTGTCCTAGTAAAACAAGGCTAATATTTGTCCTTGGATGTATCTGAACCCATTTTGTTTATCTGGCACTCTCAAACTTTTGTGGTCTTTTTCCTCATCCTCTTTTCTTTGCTGTTGCTCATACAGCTCTGGAAATACAGTCTTCAGACTCTGATGCAAGATTTTTGTAGGAGACCTAATATTTATGATTCTTTTTAACCTGTTTTGACTACTGAGTGCATAAGCAAGGTGCACCTTTCATCCATTGCAAGCTTATTACATACTTGGAGCACTAGAAGATGTTTTCCTCATTATTTTTTATTATAACAGCACTATGCGCTCCTCACTTTTCAGGCACATAAAAGGGAAAGCTTATTGCTCCAGGGAATCCCTGATCTTAGAGGTTGATACTGTTGCCTCTTGCGAGATCGGAGTATCATCTCGTCGTAAGATGAGTACGTTGAGCAGCTTGCAGGATAAGGTCTGAATGTTAATGGTAATCCAGCACCTTTGGCATTAAAACAATGAAAGCAGTAATAGCCTGTGGGAAAGTAGAGCTATGGGAAATTAAATGTGGTTATTAGTAGGAAGGAGTACACTTTGTGAACTTCTTTCCCTGCATGTGTGTGACTGTCGGTACATATGCATACACACACACACACACACACATATACACATATACACATGCACATGTACAACATGAGTATCATGCATAATGTGTAATCTAGTCTGGACAAGATATCCAGGTGGACTCCAAGTATAAGAAAAAAGAACTTTCTTGCCAAGAAGACAGTTGGGCAGAGTCCTCATTCCCCAGAACAAAAATGATTATGAAGAAAGTATTAGTTTTAGCAGTCGTTATTCTTTCAAGAAAAATTCTTCCTTTTCCTCAGAAATATCTATTAATGGAATAACTGATGTTCTGTAGAAATCAGACATGCCATGCTTGTCATAAATTTGCTCAGATTGGTGGGATGCGTGAAAGAAAAAATGTTTTTTGCTAATTTGTTATACTGTTAGCAATCTTTTGTAATAATGCACTTAATTCTGTGATTTTCTTTTCCACAGGAAGTTTATAGAAATGGGGTTTATTGATGAGAAACGAATAGCAATATGGGGCTGGGTAAGTGGTTGGTTTGTTGTATCTATCTTTAACTAATTCTGCAGTATATTTTTCTTAATTCTTCCTTGTTCTCTCTTAAGTCTGTATAAAGTTTCTTCTACTAGTGTTTGATGGTATTGTCAAAGGGGATAGTTCCTCTTGGTGCAGATGCAATAGTGCAAGCCCCTGAAAAGGGATCTTTGGCAGCTCATGAGGGAATTTTGAAAAGCTTATGTCTAATACATTGTTTGGACTTGAAGTTAAACAAAATTGAGATTTTTAATTTACTTTACTTTTAATTTAGGGACTTACTGGCATTGTGTCAAAATTCAAGTACTTTCCTTTTTGATCTGAGATTAAAATAATCAGAAAAGTCATATGAATTTTTCTCATCAGCAGATGTGACCTTGCATCATCCTGAATCACTATCTACTTGGCTGGCTTTGAAATGGTCAGCAGGGATGAATGTGGGTCTGAGGGGTGTACAACACTGATAGCTTCTCCAAGTGGAAAAATTGGACAGTATAGGAGTCATTCCAAGTAATTAGCCAGTCTATTCTTCATCTTTGATTTTTTAATGTACTTTGTGACACTCTCAGAACCTTTTATAGCCAGATTCATTGCAAATCTTTATTATTAAGTGACCAGATTCTACTTAACTTAGGCACTGAGAAATAGCTTAGCATACCTCAAGTACAAATTTTAGGGCAGCACTGCATTCTAATAGGATAAAAATAAATTATTGGAGTAATTTGGGTTCTTTCTCCTGTCCTGTCAGGTTCAAGGTAGGACCATTCATGAAAATGAGATGCAGACCCATTAGTGGTGTTATGGGAGAGCTGAAGCCAACGTCAGTGGCAGTACAAATGCCACACATCACCTTTATAGAGCATTTTAAGATGTGTAGGCCACCTGACTCAATTGCTGGATCACGAATGCATAGACAGAACTGGAGCCCTGCCTCCTACCCAACTTCAGCAGCTTCAGTATAACAGAATTATACCGTGCAGGAGAACAAGCTGATAAGCAACATGTGAGGGCCTCGTGCATTAGGAACAGTTCTGTAAGGAATGCTAAAGGGTTGGAGGCCAGACCTATGTTACCCACCCTTACTCCCTCTCTGAGTAAATAAATACCAGCTATGCAGCAGTAACAGGCAGCACTAACTAAAAAAGCTTACAGAATAAACTGGTATGTTAGCCACTCATTAACATTTTCCAACATTTTTCTCTCTTATTATCATTCAGAAAGACCTTTTATTTCATTTTCTTTAACTGCCTGTCTTTGCCAGAAGAATTCTTCTGATCTGTCACTTTTTTCTTTATTTTTGCTGGGTTTTGTTTGTTTGTTTGTTTGTTTTCATTGGCCTAGTTTCATTGTAAGAGGCTTGCCCAGAAACACAGTAGAGGATGTACCTCGTAAGAATCGGTTCAACTGTAAGTATAGAAGTTGCCTGATCTTAGATAGCACACAAGTAGGGCTGCTAAAAACTCTATGAAGCTTCAACCAACTAGTTTTTAAATTACTTTGGTTAGGCACTGCTGTGACACCAGGATAAAATGGGGTGCCATATGGTGAAACAGTGACACAGACACTTACAAGGGAGTAATTCTGAAGTGACTTAGTAAGTGACAAGTAAGTTAAGGCCACATGAAAATATTTCATTTTTTTAATCACATCATATTTTATGTGTTTTCAGAACCAATTAAGAGATTTCAAATATCTAAAGCATTGTATCCCAGTAGTAGATATAATATTTGAATAACAGCACTATTGCCAAATCTGTCAGGATTTTTTTCCATTTTTGTGATTTATTATACCATTTCCTGGTCCATAACCTTTGAAAGGGGTTGAAAGGTGTTTCTGTATTTGTAGGCTGCAGCTTGGCAGGTATGCATGAACTATGTAGTACTCTTCTGGATCACAAAAGCTCTTAAAAAACACTAAAGCAATTCCAGTTTTGAGCTCTATCTCTCTGCCTGTTACAGTGCATAGATTTATCTGCCTGATCCTAATCCTTTACTTCTTAGCCTTGTGAACTGATTTTTTAAAAGATCAAATGAGCCAATCAGATGAGCTGGGAAAATTGTACAAATTACTGTTTCCATTAGCATATCCCTCACTGTCGTGTCAAGCTGGGATGTCAAGAGGAGTAAGGGACTAACTTCTGCACAAAAAATATGTAATAGTTTTGCTTATTTCCCTTAGTCTTTCATATGCTACAGAAGAGGTTGATAATCTTCAGAAGTCTTCATGACACACCCCATAGTTTTATCTCTCCCTCTATTCCAAAGTAAACAGTAACCCATTATTTCCCAGAGACCTTATACGAGTATGTTCCAATGCCAGTTCCACATCCCGTGGATAACCAAACCAAATGCTTTTTATTTGCAACATTTTTCTCTCTCAGCAACTAGCCCCGCAGAGTTGCACATATCTGTTCTGATATCCAGGCTTACTTACTACTTTACTTTACTACTTTACCTGGCTTCCAGCTGTGAACTTACTCTTCCTTGCTGGCTCCCAGTTTGAGGACTCACACCAGAAAACAACAGGCACAGTGGCAGGCAGCAGGGAGGAATTGCTCCAACCTCAAGTTCTCAAGTAGCCTAGTAGCCTAGATCACAGAATCACAGAATCACAGAAC